TTTTTTTTTTCTTGCAGCTTTCAAGATTATCTGTTTTATCTGTTACTTTTGACAGTTTGATAATAGTGGGTTTCAGGGTGAGTCTTTTTAGGTTCATCCTAGTTGGAGATCTTCAAGTTTCTTGTATTGAATGTTCATTTCCTTCCTCAGATTTGGGACACTTTTGAAAATTGTTTATTTGAATAAGCTTTTTGCCCATCTCCTTCTTTTTTTTTCAGACTTCTATAAAGTGTATATTGGTCTGCTTGATGGTGTCATATAAATCTGTTAGCATTTTTTCACTTTTCCTAATTCTAATTTCTTTTTATTCCTCAAACGTCATGCCTTTGAATTCATTTACTCCTTCTTCTGCTTGATAAAATCTGCTGTTGATATCCTCTAGTGAATATTGTACTACATTATTGTATTCTTCAGCTTCAGAATTTCTGTTTTTTTAAAATCTTTTCCATAGTTTTTGATATTTTCAGTTTGTTCATGCATAATTTTTCTAATTTTATGTAGCTATCTGTGTTTTTGCTTTTAGCAAATTGAGCTTCTTTAAGATGATTATTTTGTGTTTTTAAAGACAATTTATAGACCATGGTTTCCAGTTGGGTTCTGGTGGTTTCTTTTGTTTCTCTGTTGCTTCATATGTCTGTGCTATTATTTTTTTCTGGGATTTGTGAATTTGAAAAAATCAGACGTGTCTCTTAGATTTTTTTCTAACTGATTTCACACAGGAAAAGAACTTCACCAATCAGCCTGGGTAAAGTGTCTCCCAAACATTTTTAGGGGATTCATCTTCTCTGGGCATGTAAAATCCCAATAGAGAGGTTTATTGGTTTCTTTTTCCCAACCTTATAATTACTATTTCCTCTGCTCTCTGGCTGCAGAACTGCAGGTTCTCTAGTATTGCAATGAGCCCCTGAACTCTTCTGTGTTCTCTGAGCCTCAGGCATCCAGAGTATGCTATTTCTATCAGTGCACCCAGTCAGTGACATAGAAACCAGACCCTTGTGCACTCCCCAAAAAACCAGAACATTGGATGGGCATTTTTTGCTTTTCTTCCACTCTAGAGAGTGACTGCAAGTTTGACATTTACTTCTGATCACACCAAGTTGTTCTGACTTAGTGGATGGGCTGTCATGGGTGAAACAAAATGGCCTTTTTACCCATTTTTAATGTGGCTGTTCTTGGCTTTGACCTTAGCTGTGTTACTGTGACTTATTAACTAGTTTCTCGAGTACTCTTTAAAGCTTTTTGAACTATATATTGTTGCAAAGCTGGTATCTCTATGGGAAGCAAGGTCTGGGGTTTCTATTCCACCATCTTTCTAAACTACACCAAAGTCGGCATATATATATATATATGTGTGTGTGTGTGTGTGTATATACACATATATATGCATATATACACATATATGTGTGTATATATATACATATGTATGTATACATATTTTGATATGGAGTCTCGCCCTGTCACCAGGCTCACTGCAACCTCCACCTCCTGGGTTCAAGCGATTCACCTGCTCAGCAACCCGAGTAGCTGGGACCACAGGTGTTCACCACCACACTCGGCTAATTTTTGTATTTTTAGTAGAGACTGGGTTTCACCGTGTTGGCTAGGATGGTCTCTATCTCCTGTACTTGTGATCTGCCCGCCTCATCCTCCCAAAGTGCTAGGATTACAGGTGTGAGCCACCGTGCCCGGCGCAAAGTCAGCATATTTTTAAACAACTCCCACTGTCCTCCCCAGCAATGTATGCAAGCACTGGTTGCCCTACATTCTTTCCAATATTTGATGCTCAAATATTTTTTTCCAGTCATTCTATTGAGTGCACAGTGAAATCTTATTGTAGTTTTAATTTATATTTTCCTGATGACTAATAATAATTATTTCCATATTGTGTGATTATTGGCCATTTGCATATCTTATTTTGGGAAGCTTCTGTTCAAAGCTTTTCCCTGTTTTTCTATTGGTATGTTCTTTTTACTATTACAGTGCATGAGTTTTTAAAAATATTGTCTATATAAGCCTTTTGCCAGTGATATAAATTACAAAGATTTTCTCTTAGTCTTTGTATAACTACATTTTTCACTTGAGGTTGTCTTTGTTAACAGAAGCTTTATTTACTTTTATTGTTTTCGTATCCTCCCTAAGACATACTTGCCTACCCCAAGGTTGCAAAGATATTTTTTCTTATTTTCCTCTAGAGGGTTTGTTGCTTTAGCTTTTATGTTTACATTTATAATGTATCTTATATTTTCGTGCATCTTAGATAAGAATCAATTGTGCGTGTGTATTTAATATATGTATACATATGATTATTATTTGATCATACATGTTTGGATCTATTTTGGGATACTTTGTTATTTCCACTAATTTACATGTCTATTTTTTAAATGAAAATCACATTGTTTATTATTGTAACATATCCTAAAGTGATCTAGAATAGGTTCTTCAACTTTACAATTTGTAAAGACTGTTTGGCTATTCTACATCTATTGTATTGCTGCATATATTTTAGAAATAACATGCCACTTTGTATAAAAATTGTATTGGAATTTTGAATGGAACTAAATTAAATTTATAAACAATTTGGAAATTAACCCCTTAATAACTTTAAGTCTTAGTCAATGAACATGATATACCTTTTCATTTTTTTTTCTCAGCAATTTATTAGTCTTTTTAATTTGGAATTATTGCATATCTTTCATTAAATTTACTTATATGCATTTTATGTTTTAATTTTATTGTAAATAATATTTTAAAATTTCATTGTCCATTTGTTTATTGCCAGCACATAAAATGTAATTTAACTTCATATATTAACATATTGCACAATAGCATAGTTTTATTATTAATTCTAGAAAGACTTTCAGCATTCTTAATGTTTTCCTACATATACAATTGTGTTATCTGCAAATAAGGTTTTGCTTTTTCCTTTCCAATCTACATTTCTTTAATTCTTTTGACTTTCCTGTTGCAGTGGCTAAGACCTCCATTTTATTTTGAACAACATGTTAACAGTAGACATCCCTTTCTTTCTCTTGATGTTAGCAGGGAATAATCCAGTTTTTTTTTTTCTCTCATTAATTAGGGTATTGGATATAAGTTTTTAAAGATGTTCTTTATCAGATAGAGGAGCACTTCTATTCCTAGAACTCTGAAGTTTTTAATTTGCTTTTTTCAAAAAAAATTGATGGTGACTTGTCTCAAATATTTTGCTGCATACATTGAAATATTATGTATATGTTTTTGTTCTTTAGCCTTTTGATATGGTAAATGTTTAAAATGGATTTTGAATGTAAAACCAAGCTTGCATTTCTAGAATAAATACCACTTACTTGGTCATGATGTGATATATTTTTCATATAGTACTAGGTTCGGTTTGCTAATATATTGTTTACTTTTTTTGTGTGTATGTCCATGAGACTTGATAGTCTCTTTCTTCTTTTGTAAGTTTTGGTTGGATTTTTTTTTTAATTTATTTGTTCACTCCAACTAAGTTGTCAATTTCTTTCATGAAGTTATTTATCATGTCCTCTCATTATTCCTTTTAACATCCGTTAGCTCTCAGTAATGACCCCTCCTTCATTCCTGATATTGATAACTTGTATTTTCTTACTTTTCTTTTCTAATTTTTTTTTTTGCTATGGGTTTATCTGATTTAGTAGTGTCCCTAAAGATCTGATATTTGTCTTAATTAATTTTGTTTATTATTTTCTCTTTTCTATTTAATTTTTCCCAGTTTTATTTTTATTATTTATTTATTTTGTTTGTTTGTTTGTTTGTTTTGCTTTGGTTTAGTTTGCGCCTCCATTCTTAAGTTCTTAAGAGCATTAAGTTTACCTACCTTCCTTTTGCGTATGTATTTAAACATTTAAATTTCACTCAAATGACTGCTTAAGATTCATTCACAGAATTTGATATGTTGTATTTTTATTTTGTTCAGTTCAAAATGTATATGCTTTAAAGTAATATGTATATACATTTGTTTTAAAGTAATACATATATACATTAAAATGTTGTAGAAGATACAAATGCAAATAAACTGCACAAGAAAAATAACTAAAATAACTAAAACATAGTGTGATATTTCTTACAGTTTAAAGGTTAGAAAAATTATATCCAGATCAGTATAGCAAGAAGGCCTATGTTTCCCTTCTTAGTTCCAGGAAAATTACAGAATGTTAGAGTAATGAAAGAGAGGAACAATATCATTTTTTTAGCACATTGACTATTATGTAAGTACTGTTCCCTATGACATATGATGTGTAAATTGAGAATCAATTATATTTATGGGTAATATTTATAAACATTTGTAACTTTAAAAAATATCTTTAGAAAAATCAAGTAATCAGAAGTCAGGAACTATGTATAGTAATTGTGACTCTACTACTTACTAAACTGGGAAATTTTAGAAAATGACAAATCTTTAAGGCATTTCTCATGTTTGAAAAATAGATATTAGTAGGTATCTCATTAAAATCTAATATGAAGTTTTTTCATTGCAATTATACAAAATTTGATAATTTTAATGATTACTTGAATACAAACTAAGAGTACCTATAAAAATAGAGAATATGCAAACATTTTTGCATCATGGAAAATTATACTTTCTAAGGGTAGGATTTACCAGTTGGTTGAAATACGACATTAAATAGAACTTTGTAGACAACCAAAATCTTGCATTATTGTAAGTATGGTTTCTAAAAGCAAGCCACTTTAGTTAATCAAACAAAATAATACTTTTAATAAGGCTGTACATTTTCCTTAATAAAGTCTTAATGTTTCTGAAATCAAAGACAAATTTTTGTGAGTCTCTTTTAGTGCCCAGATATCTGCAGTCACTTGGCTTACTTGCAAAACTCTGGCTTTAGTATAACTGAAATAAAATTGTATTGTAATATCTGATTTACTTGATATTATTGAGTATCCTTGAAAGTTTAATGGAATGCATAAGTTTAGAAGGGTATGGCGTTCTCACCAGTGGAATATTATGATTTTGTCTCCTGCAGGTGCTCCAAGTGACCAGAGCAGTGGCACCTCCTCTCCTCTCTGTGACAGTGGCTTACATCTCAACTACCACCCCAATAATACAGTAAGATGACCCAGGCACAGCTCAGATTAATAAGGAGATAACACACAGTTTGTAAAAACTGCTAGCGAATCTGATTTATGTGATAGATAGGAAATCCCTGGTTGCATAATCATTTAAGTATTATGATAAACAAGAAATGGAAAATAAATAGGTCAGGGTTTTTATGCCATTTTTTTCCCCTCTCAAGTCTGTACGGATTAAGTTCTTTTTAAGCAATAGATACTATTAACTTGGGGAGGTCACTGGGAATGTATAATATCATACAATCATTTTAGAACATTGCACATTACATGTGATTTCAGGTTCAAAATGCTTTGATATTAGTTTTACCACTTTTTTCTTTTGAAATTACTTAACTAAAAGTACCTATTTAATTTGCCATTTGTTAGGAATTTTTAGCCAACTTTACGCACAGTAAGCAGTCACTGCAGTGAGAAAATCCGATTCACACATTATTTTAACATGCAATGAATGTTTATACATGTATTTAGTAAAAGTTAAAATTAACCTTTGTTTTGTAGATATTTAATAAAATTTTATTCTTTGTTTTCTACTTGCATTTTGAGTAAATTGATTTTAATATTTTATAAATATTTTTGAAGTTCCTTGTATTTCATCCTTCAAAACACTCACACATTCTTTAAGAAATAATTTTTTCTGGTTACAAGCACATCTAAAAATCATCTTGCATGCTTACAAACATGAAGAGAAGCAGAGGTGACCTTAAGCAGAATTTTTTTGTTCTATTCCACATATTATGGTACAGACTTCATGTAGTTTCTTCTACCGACTCGTATGATTCATACTGTATTTGAAATTTTTGTCAAAATAGTGGCATTTTAGTTCAAAGCAATCTTTTTGAACATCTTCAGTCCTGAATGGCCTTCACTGTACCTGATTTCCCCAGTATTACTCTTCAGCTGAGAACCTTAGGCCCTCAAGTTGTCGACTTTTTTCCATCATAAAAAGACATTTGCCAAGACAAAAGGTTATCTGTACAACTGTAAGGATATTTTAGGATATTTTCTAAAACCAGCCTCAGCTGGATATATTTCATGTGACCATGTTTGAAACCTTTTTTTTTTTTTTTTTTTGCCAGAGAAGTAATTGCCACACAAAAAGGGGCATTTAAAACCTGCACGTTACGCACATGTACCCTAGAACTTAAAGTATAATAATAATAAATAAATTTTAAAAAAAAACACACAATACAGCATGACGGGAGTGACTTCAAATTTATGAGGAAATGTACAGGTTTCCTAATGAAACACTTAGATATACAATGAAGTTTTTTACCTCTTGATTTTGTAATTGCTGTGCTCACCTTCTTCCCTCCCAATCTAGATGCCTTCGATAATTTCAATGCCCTTCTGGTGCACCTGCCCTCAGTAACTGGAGGTGTTGGCTGTGCCCATTCACAGCTGATCCCTCTTCTCTGGATCCCCTTTGCCTGGGAGTCAGAGCTCATCTGGGTGTTGGGCACTACATGCCCTGCTTCCATCAGTCCTGAGAGGTTGCTCCTGAGAGTGACCCTACACATGTCCCTCAAACAAGAATTTCCATCTCAACTCTGATCCTAAGACAGAAACAAGAGCACACTTACTTCAGAGTGGGAGAAAGCTGTTTGGAGCTGTTTTGTTCTAGGTCTTGTCTCATACCCTTGAACTCCTGTATAATAATGAGAAGCAGAGGAGTCCAAATGGCAGGTCTAAGGGTAGAAATCATTCTGGTTTGTCTTTAACCCATTCCATTGACATATAGAAAAATGTGTACAGAAAAATGTCCTTCCTTAGAAAACTACAATTACAGCAAGAAAATCACTCCAATTCTATAACATGACTGATCCCAAATAAATTCAGTTTTATAAAATTAAAAATAAAGCAACTGTTACAAATTCCTCTTACTGGAGCTATGTCTTCCCATTTCCAGAGGCACATTTTATTAACCTTTGAGCATTAGAATTGAACATTCTTTTGACATTGCTGAAGATATTTCAGTGTAAGGCAATTGAAAGTATTTATCATGATGCTATAGAGAATAATAATAAAAAATATGGAAACAAAACAAAGTATATTCAAAATAAAGACAAAAGTCTCAATACATATCAATTAAATGCATTTTTGTTGAGAACTTACTCTGTGGAAACACCCCTCCATTATACTTTGGGGAACAGTTAATTATGATTTTAACACAAGAACAGTAAGATCCAGATCTGTAGACCAAAGCATAAAATTAACTATAACATAAGCAGAAAAAAGAAGAATGAGTAGCAGCATTCTAATAACAGAGGTAAAGAGCTGTAGAGACTTTGAACATCTGACTAAAAAATTCAAAGTAAGTTGAGAGACTACAAACCAAGTATGTGCTTTGTTGCCCACACGGGAGACTAACCTGCAATGGTAATCAGACCATGCAGGCTTGCACAGCCAGGGAGAGCACGTGCTGTTCCTTCTGTATCTTGAATAAGCTTTGATAGAGGAATGGTGAGTGGAGAACACCTCTACTCAGAGGTGTCCAAAATTTGGAGAGGTCAAAGACATGAAATAACAAGACGGTGAGCACTCGGAAGGAAGAGTGCATTGTGAGGCAAGTTTTCTTTCTGCAGAATATATGTATATTATAGACAGTCTACTTAAAAGAAACATTTGATTCTCTGATGTGTCTTAATTCTCAGTTCTATCCTAGGCTCACAGACTGCCTTTTCAATGTCTATACCTTGATCTGAAGCAAATTTTGAGTATTTATTATTCTGGTTTTCTAAGATGTCCTTACTGTATTTTAAGGCAACATTTTAAGTCTAAGGGGAAATAAAGGATTATAATATATTAACATCATTCCACCATCCTACATAAAAATATCATCTATTCTTTCTAAGGATGCACAACATCACTAATTTTAAGGGATATGAAAGTCACTTGTTTGGCCAACCCAGACCTTGGCTCCTCAGCCCCAACCCAGATTCACTGAACTTCTCTCTTGAAGTGGAGTAGAAGGATTTGTTTTGTCCTTACCAGAAGATTCTGATTCAGATAATCAGCCAAGCAGACTGAGAAACATTTTTCTTAACTGTACACTTTTAATTAATACATCCTATGCTGCCAAATCCTTAATAAAATCTGGGTCAGCAGTTTGCCCTGTGTGCAGTTCTGTTTTGGTAAGATAGTTGTTCTTGAGTTTATTGTGTGGCATGTGTAAAATTTTGGGAAAAGAGCAAGGAAACATAAATGCTTCTTTTTCCAATCACATTATTAATATTTTAGGAAACAACGTTTTTGACATTGTAAAGTAGAGCTATTGAAAAACAGTCATGGTTCTCAAAAGCATAAAAGTGGTTGTGTTTTTAGACTATCTTTTGTGCAAAAATAAATCTGATTGCTATTCCAAAATATGATCAGAAAGTAAATTTATATTCTATTTACATAAATAAAATAAGTAAGGAGAAAAATTCTTTAAAGGATAACTTATCTTCCACTGTAAATAACAGGTCTATAATATGAAATATATCAACTCTGTTTAGTCAAATAACTGAAGAGGGACGTATTCATATTTCTTATAAACAAGAAACATAAGAAAGTGACATATTTATACCTTTGGTACATAAAGGCATCAAATCAAGATGCCACAGAAAGAATGTCAAAGGCCACATATATTTCCATACTTGCCAATCTATGAAATGGACTGCTATGGTTTGTAAAACCTACCATATTCATGTATTGGTGATTAGTCAGTCCCCAACATCTCATTATCCATGTCTTTAACAATCTTCGACATATTCTGTCCCATTTATTGATGAAACACAAAATTTGAGGGAAATTATTATTGTATTTTATGAAAGATGAGAAATTATCTTTAAATAATATACTTGAAGATATATAACCAAAATGTGAAATAATCAAGTAAAAAAATCCAAATTATTTTCCATTGTTTCACCTCTGATTATGAGTGTTGAATGTTAAATGTGCTGCAGTAGATTTGTTGGCTCTGCTATCAAAGAGCTGTTAGTCTAAGTGAATCTTGGGGGTGCCCTTTGCTGGCTGGTCAACTTGGGTAGATTGTTTACTATAGAACTCAGGAATGCATGTGTGTACTGGGGTTCTGGGAAGGAGTTTCAGTCATTGTCAACATGAACCTTGCTTTGTGCAGCTGGGTGGGTCCTGGGCCACTTGCAATCCCCGTGGACATCTCTGACCTGGCCACAGAAACCTAGTTGGTTTACCCAAGCCTGCCACGCAGTATTATTGCTTCCTCATGTTCCCTCATGATGAAAAGGTGAGAAGTAATAATAAAATGCTTCTTAAAAAAATCTTCTTGGCTCACACCTGTAGTCCCAGCACTATGGGAGGTCAAGGCAGGCAGATCAGTTGAGGTCAGGAGTTCAGGACCAGCCCGGCAAACATGGTGAAACCCCGTCTATATTAAAAATACAAAAATTAGCCAGGTCTGGTTGTGGGCCTCTGTAATCTCAACTACTTGGGGGGGCTGAGGCAGGAGGATCACTGGAACCCCAGTGGCAGAGGTTGCAGTGAGCTAAGATCATGCCATGCACTTCTAAGTGACAGAGTGAGACCCTGTCTCAAAAAATAAAAAATAAAAATAAAAAAACCTTCTGTTTTTCCCTTCAAATATGAACATAGTAAGAGCTTTGTTTTCAAAGATGTTGCAAGTGGTGTAAGCCAAGCACTTAGTACAGGCAATTATTATTAAAACTACTATTAAATAGTAATAGTAATATTCCTAAAAATGTCCTTCCTAAAAGTTCCATGTTTAGAAACAATTTTGCCCATTATTTGAGCTTATTATTTTTGAGAATACATTATTTGATACTTTTTACTTACAGCTACCAAGCGATGCATCTAATTAGTTTGTTTTAGTAAATGTTAAATTACCATTAGCCTTTTAGGTATATTGAAAATAGTATGGAGCTATTTAGCTGGGCTATATTCTAAGAACTTTTTCATTTGTTGCCGTAATCTTACCAGTTGTTATCATTATTATCCCCACTTTAAAAATAAACACAGTAAGACAGAGACTACAAAATTTGCCCCCAGGTAATGGACTAGTCAGCTGGGAAATTGGTATTCAAATATAAGTAGTCTGATTCTGACTTGCAGCTTAAGTGCTCGCCACATTGTACTGTTGCCTAGCTGACCCCATATCATGCGCTGACCACCTGTAACAGCTGACATAAAGAACTGATTCCGTGTCATGAACTGACCACGTATAACAGCTGACATGAAGATCTGACCTCACGTCACATGCTGATCATCCATAACATCTGATATGAGGCCAGGAGAAAGAATAATATGAAACCTAGGTTTATGCCTTTGCAGTCACCAGAGAGGCATTCAAAGCAACTGGCTAGCATTGAAGGACAGGTGTCTTGGAGGCTGAGGTGCTCACTGAGTCACTAATAGGGACCCCTCACTAAGTGATCTTAGCCAGTCCACCCTTCCAGGTATTCTAAACCACTCCACTCACTTAGTACGTTTTTGTTTGCTCAATCTGAAACAATTAACATAAAAATGCTGGGCAACATACAACCTTTAGTAAAAGTAATACTATTTTTCACTGGAAGAATTGTTAAAAAAATTTAATGCCTGAGAGTAATGCTTAATAATATTTAGACTTCACAGAGTTTCAATATCTAGACTAAAATAGAATCTTCTTCCAACATTATCACTCAAAAATTAGTGAATAAAGGGAAGTCAATGTTACCAGTTTACTGGCCAAATTGAGCTTACAACCCATGTCAATTTGAATATTAATATTATTTGATGTGCTGGTGTGACGAAGAAATTTTAACATTAAAGCTGAAATAATGAAGAAACATGAATCAAGTGAAAAAGCCCAAATTTTATCAAATGTAAGTCTCCTCCATGTAGAAAGGGAAAAAAAAGCTCTAACAAAACTTAAGATATGTATAATTTTAAGCCAACAATAGTTGCCTTGATATGCAATTAAAACAACATAAGAAAGTATAAACTCTTTAAGAATATGAAGTTAGAAAAACGAGCACAGATTTCCTTGAGTAGTGTTTTGAAAGTTGTTTTATAGGAATGCTCATTCTATTCAAAAATATTTGCAAAAAACTGATAAATTAAAAACACTTATAATTGTGCTTGACACTCATAAAATACTTGCTAATTGAATGAACTACCAATTATTTTTATTTTTTCACTTATTGGTTAATTATATTTACATTTTTTTCCCACTTTTTCCATTCTTGAATAAATTATGTTCTGTCACACTCTTATCCTTTCCTTCCATCTCCACTCCTCATTTAAAAATGTTTTCACTAGCATTCTTAGTCTCAATAATTCCTTTCTTAACTCCTTATAGCATTCTATTAATAAATGAGTTAACCAATACAACTTTAGTGTCCGTAATATGGAATTCTTCTCATGGTATTCCATAAAAGTCTTTTGATCATTTAGGGGAAAAATAATATCCCCCAGATGAAAGGGGTTTGGGACACAGAAACTCAAAGCACAGAAGAAAAACATTACATTTAAATATTTGTCTTCCTTTCAGGACACATTATCATGCTCGTCGTGGCCGACATCTCCAGGCTTGAGGTGGGAGAAGCGATGGTGCGACCTCAGACTGATCCCTCTACTACACTCACGCTTCTCTCAGTATGTGCCGGGCACAGATTTGAGTCGGTGAGTCCATGTTTATGGGTTACGATTGTTTTGCTTATTTAAAAAGAGGCCTTTTAGGAAACCTTTTAAACATATCACAATATGCCTTATGATTTTAGTATGTTTTTTATAGTAGAAAGAAGAGCTTCAAAATAGTAATCTAACAAAGTTAAACACTTACTATTCTGATGACAAAACCACAAGTTAAAGCCCTGACTCTGCTATTAACTTATTCTAATGGATTCAATGGATTCAATAGATAGTTTTGTTAAGTTTTCATATTTCCTCTTGTATTGTTTACTTCTCAAGAATATTGCATAGTTTATTTATTTATTCATTCATTCATTTATTTTGAGTCAAGGTCTAGCTATGCTGCCCAAGCTGGAGTGCAGAGGGGCGATCTTGACTCAATGCAACCTCCACCTCCTGAGTTCAAGTGATCCTCCCACCTCAGTCTCCTGAGTAGCTGGGACTGCAGGCACATGCCACCATGCCCAGCTAATTGTTTTGTTTTGTTTTTGTAGATATGGGATTTCACCATGTTCCCTAGTATTGAACTCCTGGTCTCAAGAGATCTGCCTGCCTTGGCCTCCCGAAGTGCGGGGATTACAGGCATAAACCACATGCCCAGCGGCATAGTTGGTCTAAATTATAAGATTTATTTTCTGCTTTTAATATTCCTATATTATTATCTATTTTACTAAGTGTAAGATAAGTAGTGTCCTCCTTTTCATTCTGGAATTTTTTTTTCTCTTTTTATCTTGATCAGTTTTGCTAAAGAGTTGTACATTTGGCTAATTTTTTAAAAATGATTAATTTGGGACTTTCTTGGATCTCTTAACTTATATATATACTTTATGAGCCTCTGCTTTTTCCCTGATTGTTTCCATTTCTTAAGTTTTTCTGCTTGAATTTTTGTTCTTATTGCTTTTTGAGAGATATAAGTTCCGGGGATTGGGAAAGTTTTCTGTAAAGAGCCGTATAGTAAATTTTTTTTTTTTTTTTTTTTTTTTTTTTTTTTTTTTGAGACGGAGTCTCGCCCTGTCACTGCAAGCTCCGCCTCCCGGGTTTACGCCATTCTCCTGCCTCAGCCTCCTGAGTAGCTGGGATTACAGGCGCCCGCCACCGCGCCCGGCTAGTTTTTTGTATTTTTTAGTAGAAACGGGGTTTCACCATGTTAGGTTTCACCAGGATGGTCTCGATCTCCTGACCTCGTGATCCGCCCATCTCGGCTCCCCAAAGTGCTAGGATTACAGGCTTGAGCCACCGCGCCTGGCCAAGAGCCGTATAGTAAATGTTTTATGTTTTGCAGGCCTTAATATCTCTGTCACAAAGTACTCAGCTCTGCTGTTTTGCCACAAAAATAGCCGTATACAATATATAAATAAATGAGCACACCTTTGTTCCAATAAAACTTATTTACAAAAACAGGTGTCAGGCTGGATTTGTCTCATAGGCTTTAGTTTGCGAGTCCATTTTGATAATTAATTTCAAGATTTATTTTTCCTAATATATATTGCCAGATCTTCACATTTCCAGCAAATACTCTTGTAGTTACTCCTGCAAGTTTAACATCACCTCTTGACTTATTTATAGTATTTTTGAGTATATCACTTTGCATAGTTTTCTGACTGGTTGCTCGAGGTATATGTGTAGGTAATGTATCCCAGTCTACTGGTAACGTTTTACCACTTTGAATGAAGTATAGAAATGTTGCTTCCATTAAGATTCCTTTATCTTTCCTGTTTATAAAGATATTGCCTTAACTTCCTACACATACATCAAACACTATATTGGGTGGTATTATGAATTTTGCTTCAACCATCAAATAAGATTTTAAAAACTCATAGAAAGGATAATCCATTATACTTAACCCAAAGTGTACCCATCAATGATCTTTCTGAATTTCAAAGCTTCTTTTATCGCTTCCTTTCTGCTTAGATAATTTTTTTAGACATTCTTTAGAGGTAGATTTGCTAGCATCTAATTCCTTTAGTTTTCATTTATCTTAGTGGACACAGACTTTGGAGTTGACAGTTCTTTTCTTTCAGTAGCTGAAATATGTTAGGCATTAATGTCCACTGTCATTCAAATTGGTGTCCCCTATAAGTAATATGTTCTTTCTCTCTCTCTGCTTTGAAGACTTTTTTCTTTTTTTTTCAGTTTCAGAAGACTAATTATGAAGTATGTTGGCACATATTTCTTTAAGTTTCTCATAAATGGGCTTTATTCGCTTCTTAAACCTGTGTGATTATGACTTTCAGCAAATTAGGGAAGTTTTGACTTTTATTCCTTCAAATACTTGTTTAGCCTCACTTTACATTCTCTCCCTCTGGATCTCTGTTGATGCATACATTAACCCTTTTATTATTGTCCTGCACATCACTGAGAAACTTTTTAAGAATCTGTTTTCTTTCTGTTAAACAGTTTGGGAAAAGTTTATTGATCTGTATTTATGTTTTCAAATTTTATTTCCTGTCATTTAACTCTGCTCTTCAGCCTATTCATCATTTTATTTTTTTTATTTATTTTTTCAGTTCTAGTTTATCTTTTTAAAAATAACTTCTTTTTTAAAGTTTTTAAAAACAATTTTATTTGTTTCAAGAAAACTTCTAATTGCTTGTTGAAGCATTTTTATGATGGTTACTGTGACATCTTTGTGAGATAATTTCAATATCTCATTCATTTCATTGTTAGTATCATTAGTTATTTTCTTGTTCAACTTGTGATTTTCCTGGATATTGATGTGACAAGTGATTTAACAAAATCATTCTAGACTTTGGATATTAAATGTTGAGATTCGGGTTCCTGTTTAATCTGGGTTTTGTTGTTGTTGTTCTTATTCTTCTTCTTCTTGTTTTTAGCAGGCAATCTCTTTGTTGTGAGGACTGCATGGGTGTATATGTTAAGTTTCCTACTGCACCATGCTGACACCTGGAAAGGTAGATGGACAGGGTCATTAACATTTCTTGGTTGCTAAAGGTTGGAGGTAGAAGCTCAGTTCCCCACAGAATTCTACTGACATAAGGAAGGAGGTGGATGGATAGGAGAGGCCAACTAGCTCCACCAAGTACCACCTCATTCCACCGTGGTGATAATGGTGGGAGAGACCCAGCTCTTTGCTGGGCCACACTTGTCAGCACGGAAATGGAGGCACAGTACTTACTTGTCCCATCTCCCACAAGCCCGTTTAGTCTGATTGTTGCAGGTGAGTATGATAGTTCAGCTGTCCGGGACACCCCACTGACACTACCCTGGCAGGGAAATTGGAGCCTGCTTCTTTAAGGTGTGGGATGGAAGACCAGCTTCCTGCTAAGCCCTGCTGAAAACCTTGTGAACAGGGAGACAATGTATCCATTGATATTTGACTGAATTTGGGCAGGTGTTGCCAAAAGGTTTTATTTTGTTTGTTTTCAGTGTACCCATTCTCTAGTCCTTTAGAGTAACAGGTTTCCATTGGAGGCTTTATGTTTTTAAAAATCTTGCTGTTAGCCATTCAGAGGGGAGGATTCAGAAGGTCGGATTCAGAGGGTCATGTCTAGGACATGCAGGAGGAAAAGCCAGCGACTTAGCACTTTTTTTTATCCCTGAGTTTGAAGTCCCTAGTCATTCATGCTTACCTGTTCACCTCACAGGGGCTTCCCATACTTTTGTCATGTTAAGTGTGAAGTTCTTTAGTTGCATCAGGAAGCATCTGATAAGAATGAGGTCACTTTGTCTTGGCCAGAATAGGAAATCCACAAATATTGATATTCATATATTTTAAAAAATTCATTTGATAATGTTTTATTTTTGTTATAATTACTTCTTTGACGTATGGACTATTTAAAAGTGTATCATAAAATTTCAAAATATTTGTGGATTTTCTAATTATCTTTTTGCTATTTCTATTTAGTATAATTTCATGCTAGATGATTTCAATCCTTTGATAATTGTTGAGTCTTGATTTTACTCAGCATATATGTTAATTTGGGAAATGTTCTATATGTATTTATAAAGGATGGGTATTGTAAGTTTTTTAGTTCTGTGTTGTACATATTTCAAGCAGGTCATATGTGTTCATTAGAGGCTCTGATCCTCTGCATCAGTCACGATTTTTTCCAGTTTATTGTATTAGGTTTTATATGAAGATGGTAAAGTGTCCCACTATGATAGTAGATCTGTGTGTTTCTCTATAGTGTTGAGTGACTGTTTACTGTGTATATTTAATTATGTTGTCAGATACAAGTAGATTTAGAATTTTTATAAATTCCAGTTATATGATGCCTGATAATTATGACATGTCCTATACCTTTGGAAATATTTCTCGCCTTTAAGTCTATCTATATTAGGATAAATAAAAAACAGATTTATATTTATTAATATCTACTTGTATATTCTTCTATCCTATTTAAACTGTACTTAGTCTTACTGTACAAAATGTGCTCGTTCTGCATTAATGTATAGGTATATATACACATCTATATATTATACATATATTTGGAATATTCTTTTTTGTTTTTAATCCAAAGTAACAAACTTGGTCATTAAATCAAATTAGTCTAGTTACTTTTAATGTAATTACAGATATATTTTGAATATACCAGCTTATTTTTTCCATTGAAAATCCTAGCTTTTTATGATTAAACCTTTTATTTTGAAAAAAAA